GCAATTGTATGGGGAATATAAAAATAAAATTTATTATTAAAAAAATAAAAATAAAAAATATAATAAATAAATAAATAAATCTTTAAAAAAAAAGAAGACCATATCAATGAGCTTGAAGATGCAAATATTCAAAAATAGAAATATTCAAAACCGAAAAGCAAAGAGAGATACAAAGGAAAATAAATGAAGAAACATTTCAAGAATTATCTGGCACCAATAGGAAAGGAAATATAAGAATCATCCACATCTCCAAGGGAAGGGCACATACAGATACAGGCAGTCAAAAGAATGACAAGCAACAGACTAAAAGAAACTATAGCAAGACATGCAGTAGTTAAAATTCTAAGAGTCCAATACAAAGAAAAATATGAGCTGATGAAGGGGAAGAAGCAGATAACCTATAAAGGAACCCTGATTACACTAACATCAGAGTTCTCTGAAGAAACTCTATGGGCAAGAAGAGAATGGAGTGACACATTCAAAATACCAACCACAATGCAAATATCTCCTTCAGATATAAGGGAGAAATAAAGTCCTCAGACAAACAGAACCTTTGAGAGCGTCCAAACACTAAAACCCCCTGCAGGAAATAATAAAAGGAGTGTTAGTATTTAAACCAAACAGAGGAATAAACACACAAAATAGAACAAGCAATTAAATAGAATCACAAAACTAAGGACTAAATGGCAGTAGAACACTTTTTTTTTTTTAAGAAATGCCTTTTTCAAAAAAAGATTTATTTATGCATACAAGAGCTGGGGTACAGGCCAGAGGTGTGGCCTGTGAGAGGATTCACCAAAGACAGAGTGGGGAACGGCGGAACAGGCAGATTGACCAAAGTACACTGCTGAGGGGAACAGTGGGCCAGTCAGGCGAGTTCTGCTGCAACATGTGGTTTGCTCCCTGACCAGCAGGGGATCGAACTCATGCTGCAGAGGCAGCGGACAGCTTCATAGGTTGCGTCTTAACCCCTTGCACCACCAGGGAGGCCCAGGAAACTTTCTTATAACAATAATCTTTCTAAATATAATGGACTGAACTCATTAATAAAAAGACATAGAATATCAAGTTGAATCAGCAAACAGATTTCAACTTTCTGCTTCCTCCAGGAAACACAACTAAATTCTAAGGATAAACACAGGTTGAAAATAAAGGGAAGCTGGAAAACAATTCAAATGATACCCACATGAAGGCAGGAACAGCCATAATTGTATCAGATAACATAGACTTCCAACATAAGAAGATAATAAGAGGCACGGATGAACACTATATAATGATTAAGGGAACAATAAAACAGGAAGACAAGACTCATCAATATATACTCACCAAACAAAGCAGCATCAAAACACATCATATAATTACTACTAAATCTGAAAATGGACTTTGGAGAAAATACATATGTCGTTGGAGATTTCAATACCCCATTTCACCAATAGACAGATGAATTAGAGAGAAAATAAATATGGGCATAATTCCCTAAACAAAGAACTAGGTTATCTGGATGTACTAGACATTTATAGGGCACTGCTGCTGCCCCCCACACCCCGCCCTCCATACACACAAATGCTGAATACAAATTTTTCTCAAATTCACATGGGTCATTCTCCAGGATTGACCACATATTGGGTCACAAGATAAATATAACAAATTTGTGAACATTAAAATCATATCAACTATCATCTGACCATAAGGTTATCAAAGTAGAAATCAACAACAAAGGAGTTATTCTAAACATGATACTGAACAGCACACTACCGAAAGACTAATGGGTTAATGAGGAAAGAGAAGAAATCAAAAAGTACCTTGAGACAAATGATAATGAAGACACAGCCTCCCAAAACACATGGGACACAGCAAAAGCAATTCTAGGAGGGAAGTATATAGAAATACAGGCCCATGTCAACAACCAAGAAAGAGCCTAAACTAACAATCTTTTATCTCAAGGAACATGAAAAGGAACAAAAAGTCTGAAAGTCAGCAAATGGAAGGAAATTAAAAAAATAAGGGCAGAAATATGTGAAATGGAAATCAAAAAGGTGGTTCTTAAGGTCATGAAACTAAAAGTAGTTCTTTGAAAAAATAAACAAAAAAGACAAACCTCTAGCTAGGCTCAAAAAAAAAAAAAAAGAGAAAAAAATTCAAGTTAATAGGATCAAAAATGAAAGAGGAAAAATTCCAAGAGACTATTAGTACAGACATTCAGGGGGATAATCAGAGATTACTATGCACATTTATATGCAAACAAATTCAGCAACCTAGATGAGATGGACAGATTCTTAGATTTATACAATCATCCACAACTGAGTAGGAAAGAAAGAAAATGCTAAACAAACCAATCTCAAGCAAGGACATTGAAATAGTAATCAAACTCTCTTGAAATAACCAAAGTCCAGAACCAGATGGTTTCACAAGTGAAATTTACCAAATTTTCAAAGATGAACTGATTCCTATCAGACACAAACTTTCAAAGAATTGAGGAAGAAGTAATACTTCCATAATATCTCAAACCTATACAGGAAAGAAAAGGATAGTCTTATCCATGGTGAATACTGATATAAAATTCAGGTACAAAGTACTAACAAAACTAAATGCATGATACATGAAATGGATTATACATCATGACCAAATGAGATTTATTGCTGGGATGCAAGAATGATGCAACATGTGAACATTAATCAAAGCAATATAGCAAATTAGTGGAATGAAGGACAAAACCCCACAATCATCTCAATTGATGCAGAAACAGCATTCAAAAATTTTGATGTTCTTTCATTATGAAAATTCTCAATAAACTGAAAATAGAAGAAATTCCTGCAACATAATAAAAAAAAATATATATATAAAACCTATCACTAACATCATGGTAAATATCTGAAAAAAATTCCCTTTAAGATTAGAAACAAGACTAAGATGCCTATCTCACCATTTCTATTCAACATAGTATTGGAAAATCTAGCCAAAACAATTAGGTAAGAAAAAGAAACAAAAGTCATCCAAAGGAAGCAGTAACATAAATGAAGAAGTAAAATTATCTTTGTTTGCAGATGACACCAAAAATTTACTGGAAGTAATAAATTAATTTAAACAAGTTGTGGAACACAAAACATAAAGATCATGTGTGTTTCTATATACTACTGATGAACAGTATACAAGGTGAAACACTTGTACATGAAAAACTATAAAACATTACTGAAAGAAATAAAGATAAATATAAAAGACACCTATGTTTGTGGATTTGAAGACTTAATAATTATTTAAATGTCCTTACTATCCAGAGTGGTATATAGATTCAATGAAAACGCCTACCAAAATCTCAATGAAAAATTTTGTGAAATCAGGGACAAAATTCATATGGAATCAGAAAAAGACCCCAAATAGCCAAAACAATATTGAGAAAGAAAAAGAAAGCTGGAGGTCTCATACTTTCTGGTCTCAAGTTACATTACGAAATTACAATTTCAAAAGACTTTTTATTGTACTGGTATTAGGAAAGAAATACAGACCGATAAAATAGAATATACGACCCAGAAATAAACTTTCATAGATAAGGTAAAATGATCCTGACAAGGGTGACAAGAATTCAGAATGGGTCAGGAATAGTCTCTTCAACACATGGTGCTGGAAAATTAGATATCCAATGAAAAACAAGGAAATTGAACACTTATCTTACAACATTTGCAAAAAAATAAGTCATAACAGATTAAAGATCTAATATAATGCCTCAAACAATAAAACTCCTAGAAGACAAAACAGTAGGAAATATTCATGGCATTGACCTTGGCAATAATTTCTTGATATTATGCCAATAGCACAGGCAACTAAAACAAAATTAGACAAACAGGACAATATCAAACTTAAAAACTGCACAACAAAGGAAAATAATTAGCAGATTAAAAGGACAAACTGTATTATGGGAGGAAATATATGATACAAATCTAATTTTAAAATGGGCAAAGAATCTGAATGAACATTTCTCCAAAGAAAATATACAAATGACAAATGAGTATATGAAGATGTCCAACATCATTAATTTACAGGGAAATCAAAACCACATAAAATACCACTTCACATCTGTGAGGGTGACTGTTACCAAAATCAAACAAACAAAATAAACAGAGAAATAACAAGGACGTTGAGAGATTGGAAGTTTTGTGCACTGTTGGGAATATAAAGGGGGGATAGCCACTGTGGAAAACCGTATGGAAGTTCCTCCAAAAAATTAAAAATAGAATTACTATTTGATCTAACAATCCCACTTCTGAGACTATATTCAAAAGAATTAAAAATCGATTCTCAAAGAGATATTTGCACAGTCATGTTAACTGAGGCATTATTCACAACATCCAATAAATAGAAGTAACCTAAATGTCCATTAAAGATAAATGAAGATAGAAAATGTGGTATATACATACAGTGGAATATTATTTAGCTTTAAAAAAAAACGGAAATATCATACACAACAAAAAACTTTGAGGACATTATGCTAAGTGAAATAAGTCACAGAAAGACAAATACTGCATGATTCTACACATATGATTACCTAAAATAATGTAACTCTTAAAAACAAATTAGAACGGTGGTTGTCAGAACCTGGGGAGAAGTGAGAAAAGAGGAGTTGTGCAGTGAATACAGTTTCAGTTTTGCAAGATGAAGAAGTTCTGAAGAGCTGTTGCCCAGAAACACGCATATAGTTAACACTGCTGTACTTAAAAGTGGCTAGGATGATCAATTTTATGTTATGTGTTTTTCATCACAATTAAAAAAAAAATCTATATGCAGCATTAGTGGTAAGATTGCCATTTTAAGTAGTATTTTTAAAATTATATTTCAAGTCATAAAGATACAGTGTGTATTTTGGATGTATTTAAATATATGTATATATAATCACATTTGCATATCTTTTACAAATTAAATTAAAAACATATATTAATCAACTATACTATCTGGTCCATAAGTACTTAACATGATGTAAATTACAAAAAGGAAAAAAATTTACTTACCTCTTCACAACAGTGTCATTCTCTAAGGTATTAGTTAGGGGTGCGCCTATTGTGTAACCCAAAGCATAACCAACCGTTAGTGAACTTTCCACACAGCCTATAAAATGAATACTGAATATCAAAAATTGATCTATGTCAGCTTTGTCATAAAAATGATTAAAAATCACATCACTGAAATGGATTATTTCTGAAAGCTTCAAGGCATACTTGACTAGTAAGGGTTCTCCAGAGAAACAGACAAAATGGGGGAGGGGCAGAGACAGAAAGAGACAGAGAGTCATTTAAAGGAATGGGTTTAGGGATTTGCGGGCACAACCAAGAGACAAATTTGTAGGGCAGACAGAGAGGCTGGACATCCAGATAAGAGTATGTATTATACTTTTGGGTACATAATTAAGAAGAAATCCACAGGGCAGACCAGCAGACTGGAAAAACTCAGGGTGGGTTTCTATATTACAGTCTAGAAATAGAATTGCTTCTTTTTTGGGAAACATCAGCTTATTTTTTGAAAGACATCAACTGATTGGATCAGACTCACATTAAGGAGGGTAATCTGCTCTTACTCAAAGTCCAATGATTGTAAATGTTAGTCACCTCTAAGAAAATATCACAGAAACATCTAAACTGACTGCCATGATCCAGCCAAGGTGACACATAAAATGAATCACCATGATTATTAACCAATGAATGTATTAGAGAAAATCAAATAATTTACATGTAATTAACTTTATTTAATTTATATATTTCATGTAAATAATGTTTCATGTAAATGAATACACTTATATTTTATATAAATATGAATTCAATATACCTTCTTTCATTTCATTTGTGGCACCTAAAGCAAGGTGACACTTTAATATAATCAACAGGCCTGTGTACTGCACATTAACTTCAAGGGTGGCAGGAGATGGCAATAAAGTAAGCTTCTCTTTCCTGTGTCTATATGTGTGTTTTAACTGATATTTGGTTGAACCAACAGTAAAACAAACATAGGCATTGCCACCTTCAGCTAGCACCAATAAATCAGTGCAAAACTTGTTTTCCAAAAGCAAAGATAAATATGAATATCATTTATTTTCACTTATTTACAAGAGTCTCCTATGTCTTGTGGAAAAATTATTATTTTGGTACAAAAATGCTGTTTTCTTTGAAGTTCCCTTCACAATAAGTATATGAAAACAAAACTTTATATATTTTTCCAAAAATGATAGTATATATAGATGATCTACCAAAACCAGAAGTTATTGTAATATCAAGAATTACAGATTATTCTGAAATATACCCTAGACTTACTTTTATAAATTACAGTAGTGTAAAGCCTGTAAATAGAGGATATTACACTAGAATCAATTCATCCTCCCACAGAGCTTCCCCCAAAATTAAGTGAGTTGAAGCACAGAGTTTAGTACAATGGTGATTATTTTAGAAACGCGTGAATTTAGTACTAAGGAGACATAAAACATTGTTTCTGTCCCCTTATTGGACACAAGGGCAGCAACTTCCCACCTATATACCTAAAGTTTAAAAATACAGCTACCCAAGCAATTCAATCTAGTAATATGAGACATATTTTTCCTACAGAAATCAACTTCAGCCTGTAGTTTGATATGATATCATATAGGTGTATGTGTGCACATATGCATGCATATGTACACACATACATATATATGTGGAGATATATGTTACAGGTGTATGTAGAATATATACACACACATAAAGTGCAATTTTTATTTCTTAAGAAGGGTATTTTTCTGTCTTTTCAGTGATCTTCAAACAAGCTGTCCACAATTCCAAATTTCAAGTAGCTCCTCACAATTAATGTGATTTTGAAGTTAAGCATACCAGATATTAATTATTACAATTTATTTTAAGGGCCAGAAATTAAAAATGTTCTATCATTTTAGATGTGTACAACAAAATATAGAAGCTAAATAAAAATTCAAAATGGGTCCACCATAATAGAGGGAATAATACTTGCCTAAGTAAATACCAGATGAGTGTGTTGTGACGCTTCCATCAAGAAAAATTATTCCAGCGATATAAATGGGTATTGCTGCTATTCCCTGCAGAATCTGCCCAAGGATGAAGTAAGTCACATATTTTGATTGAGATGACATTGTGTTTCTCTTGCAAACATAAGGAATCTTTCTTTCTACGCACATATCTTTTGAAAAAGATCATTATATTTTTGTTAAATAAGTCAAAAGTTAAATACATACCAAACACAAAGTATCATTGATATTTTACCTTTTTTAAAGCATTTCCACCATTGTGTTTGTTTCTTTCCGTTAAATTTTCATTTATATTGAATATAGCAGTTCTGCAATCATCATGTTCTCAGAAAAATGCAATAATAAAAGGAAATATGTAGGAATACTGGAAAAGTTGCATATATTTGAACCAAATATAAATGTGTATGTATGACTATTTGTACATATGCATTTATGAGTCAGTAGGAATATATACATACACACCCATATATATATATATATATATATATACCCATATATATATATATATATATATGAATATATACTACATACACACCCATATACACATATTTTTCTTACATTTGGCATCTGGTATCCCTAATATTTTTTTCTTAAAGTATTAGTTGTCCTGATAATTATAGGAATTTTTTACTTATGAAATACAAAGAGAGAAATCTTTATTTTGATCATCACTAAACACATACAACTGGCACACACAGGTAAAATGTACTTTTATATAATAATATTTTTATGTTTCATAAAGTGAATATCATAGTATTTATTTTCTTAGTCTTTTCAGAATAATGCTTTATCCATATAGAAGGATAAAATGAGACAAAAATAAATCTGGTCAGAAGCAACTTTTCCTTCAGTGCATTTATTTAAGTGAGAGTTTGCATTTTTTTCATTCAAGCAAGTTATTATTTTTTATGTATTTATTTTACTTACACCACCATTATCTTATATCCTATCCTCTTGTTCCTTTTCCTTCCGCCCCCCTCTTAACCTCAGATTTCTCAGGATGTTTACTGAAGTCAACATATTTTTGAAATTATTTTACATTATTAAATTATCTGTTATATAAATGTCAAGTTTTTATATTTATTATTCCCATTCATTTTACTATAAATAATCTCTCAGATTCCCTCCATTATGTTGAAAATGGCTACATTTCATCCTTTCTTATGGCTATATAATACTTATGGTGAGAATATACTCCATCTTTTGAACCAATGGCCCATCAGTGGATTTCTAGGCTGCTTCCAGTTCCTAGCTGCAGTAATAATGCTGTTGTGATCATTGTGGACCATAAGGGCTTTTGTGTTGGTTGACATATACCCAGAGAATTTGCTAGGTTATATAGAATTTCCATTTTTAGATTTTTTTTTTTTTTGCTGTTTTAAACACACACATTTATTGCTTGCTGGTTTCTTTATTACAAGTTCTTAAGTTGCTGATTCTTTATGTTTTCTGCTAACTGCCCCTCATAATGAGTTGTTTCCTTTTATGGTAGTGTTTTACCAGGATTATTTTGACACACAGCATTGTGAAAATCTAAGTGTATAATGAACTAGTTTGATACATTTTTTTATTACAATATGATCACCATAGTAGGTTTAACTAACACCAGTGTGGTGTCAAATAATTATCATTTCTACTAGTGTTGCCAAAAATGACAGTGTGCTCTCTTAGCAAATTTAGTGTTTATATTTTTGAGGTCCATCATCCCTGTAGTATGTATTAGTCTTTCTGACTTATTTATCTACTAGTTGCAAATGTGTATCCTTAAACAATAATTCTTTCTTTTTTTTTCCTGCTTCAGGCCCTGATGACTACCATTTTTATTCTCTGCTTTTGTTTTCTTTTCTTTTCTTTTTTTTTTTTTATTTTTAAGGTATATCCAGATTGCTTCCTGTAATGGTTGAACCAGTTTTCATTCCCACCAACAATGTGATAGGATTTCTATTTCTTCCCATCCTCTCCAATTCTGTGTTGGTGGTGTTTTTAATATATGCCATTCTCGGGGCATGAGATAGTATCTCATAATGGTTTTAAGTGGTATCTCTTTTATTTGTAGTGACAGTGAAGGCACCACACAAGGAAAAATTATTTTTGTTAGAATTAGTTATTAGGTGGCAATCAATTCTTAAGTTTTTATTTTTTAATTCACATGGTGATAGAACAATAGTAAGTAAATGTTGAAGTGCATTTGCTATTATTGATATATTGGAAGATTCAAGCAATGCTATCAGATTTCTCTGATTATATCCATTTTCATCAGGATTTAGCGAATACTCTTAAGTATTAGTGTGGAAAACCGGTTCCAATATAGATTGCAAAATAGTACACTAATGGAAATTTTCAGGTGATTCAGTATGCATAGGAAATGATATTTGATTCCATGTTAAATGGAAGCTATCTCTATACTTGTGATTCAGAATTGATGATTTAATGTTATATAGACATATTAATTGTGGCGATATCAGTATTAATGTGATGTTTCCACATTCTGACCTCCTAATTTCTTAGTTCCTAGAACTCCTCTGCTACCATTACTTTTATTCCAATTATTTTAGTTATTCATTGGAAACTTTCAAAAACAATACCTGCAAACCTTTCTTAACTATAATTTCAAGCTTCCTGCGCACAAACCATCTCTGTCTTTCCAACACACACCTGGTAATACAATGCCAACAATCCTAAAGGCCCATCATCCATTTATCCTGCTCCTTTTCACTACCCCAATGTTCTCTCCATGTCCTTACTTCTCTCATTGTCATCTTAACACTTTTAAATCCCTTACTGTATCAGATCATGCAATCCCTTAATAATATTGCAATCCAGGTCAAATTAAACTCTGCCTACTCTACATCTACACCTCAATTAAAGCTGAATGTAACTGAAGACAAACACACAACCACACAATTATCACTTTGAATTAATGATAATTAAACGGATGGTAGTCCTTCAACCTGCTGATAATCAAATATGTTCCTAGTCTAATAATCTAGCTTTCTTTGAGAAAATGTAACTTGTTTGGTTCTCTTCTCCTGAGAATCACAGTCCTGAGATTTCTGCTGTCCAACACCTGAAGACAAATGCTTTCCACCAATAGGATAAATTCAATATCTGGTCACCTGTTCTTTTATTTTTAAAAAACTCTCTTGTTTGAACTATAATTCAAGAAGCAGGGAGCAGTTAGTATGATAAATTGCTGGTGATAATCCAAGAAATATAACTAATAAGAAGTTTAACTATATTAAATAGCAAAATATATGAGTGGCATAGTGAAAATAATTCCATTGCACCTTTTTTTTTTAAGATTTATTTATTTATGCATCCAAGAGCTGGGGTACAGACCAGAGGTGTGGGGGATGAGAGGATTCGACAGAGACAGAGTGGGGAACAGAACAGGCAGATCAACTGAAGTACACTGCTGAGGGGAGCAGCAGGCGAGTCAGGAGAGGTCTGCTGTGCCAGAACACTGCTGTTCTGTGGGTTGCTTCCCGGCCTGCCTGGGATTGAACTCGTGCTGCAGTGGCTGCGGACAGCTTCATAGGTTGCGTCTTAACCTGTTGTGCCACCAGGGAGGCCCCCCATTGCACTCTTTAGAGTACATGGAAACCATGTTAAAGTGGGTTGAGGAAAGAATATGCAATAAAGCCAGGAAACATGTACAATTCTTTTTAAAAAGTTGTCAATGAATATGAGGAGATTGTGCAATGTAAAAAAAAAAAAATAGGACTATGGGATTTGTCTACTATTTTATTTTTTAACTTTAGAATGAAAAAAAGAACATATTTATGTGCTTATGAGCAGGAACCAATAAAGATGGAGAATTTGCATAAGGAAGGAGAAGCTAACCAATGCACAAAAGTACAGAATGTTGAGTAAAAGGATCACCCTTCCATTTTAACAAGAAGGAAGTAGTAAAGAATGTCAGCATGTAAACATACAAGAAATTATTGTTTTGATGGTGAGAAGTTAAGGCAATTTCTATTATAGCATATATTTTCCACCCAACACTGAAGGTAAGTGTAAAGTGAGGTGATACAGACTGAATGTTTTTGTCCTCCCCAAATTGGTATTTGAAGAGGAAGCCTTTGAGAAGCAACTAAGTCAAGAAGGTAAAGCCCTCATGAATGAAATTAGTGCCCTTTAAAGAAGAGACACAAGAATTTCCTTCTCTTCCTCCCTCCGTCTTTCCTCCAAGCCTCCTTCTGCTTCCCTCCCTCCCTCCTCTCTCCCTCCCTCCCCATTCCTGCTGTGTGAGGACAAAACCAGGAAGGGTGCTCTTGTCAGGAACCATAGTGGCCAGTACCTGGATCTTAGATGCTCAATCTCCAAGGCGGCTGGAAATATTTCTTTTTTAAAAAAGATTTATTTATGCATACAAGAACTGGGGTGTAGGCCAAAGGTGTGGGGGATGAGAGAATTCACCAGAGACAGAGTGGGGAGCAGAACAGGCAGATTGTCTAAAATACACTGCTGAGGGAAGCAGCAGGTGAGACAGGAGAGGTCTGCTTTGCCACATGGATTGCTGCTGGGCCTGCCAGGGATCAAACTTGTGCTGCAGTGGCTGGGGAAAGCTTCAGAGTGCTGTATCTTTAACTCCCGCACCACCAAAAAGGCTCTAGAAATATTTCTTGTTTAAGCTACCCAGTCTATGATACTTTTATTATAGCAGTCTTAATTAAATAATACATGAGAAAAGTCTAAAAATCTTTGTTGTGAATTATGGAAGGGAGAGTGGACTTAAAAACATATTTTTAAGGGATTGGATCTATTTGAGAGCATAGTTGAGGTTGACAGTAAAAAATTCATTGCAGGACTAGTCAATCTGTCCACTTGTGTGATTTTTCTCTAAAATGCTCATCAGTAACCCAGGTACTGGTAAAAGATATATATATAATATATATATATATATATAAAGTATATATATATATAGATCTCTATATATATATATATATATATATATATATATATATAGTAAAGTTTCCAGGCAGTGACAAGAAATGCCAATAGGAGAGGGAACTTAGGAAAATGACTAGAGTATATTGGAAATAATCTAATATTTATAAAAAGGAACATAAAATAAGCTACAAATGGAAGTAACTACAAGACTTATAAAGGGAAAAAGTAGAATTCTGTAGAATGAAGATACCAATGAAAG